CGACGATGGTAGAGAAGATCGAGTAAAATTCAGCCTATTCCGAGTATCCACCGCTGAACGTAGGGAGCGGCAAAGGAGGCAGCACTTGAAAACTTTGACCTAACCCTGGGTCAGCCTGCCTGGTGGACACTCCGTTGGCAAGGTTGGAGTGGGCAGCAATTTGAGATGAGCAAAGGGTCGTCTCGTGCTCAATTTCCGCCTGCATCGTCGCTACGAGCTCCGAAACAGTCCATCGAAGGTCACTGCTGATCTGCAAAATGTCCAAATCCTCAATCTCCCCGTGGATGGCCTTGAAGTCGCTGAACATGGTGGCTATCTGACCATGTCGCACGTGTAGCATGGCATCATCCACCTTGGAAATAGGCTGAATAGCTCCTTGGATCCTCTGTAAGTCCTGGAGAATATCCAGGGCCTTGCAATTTAAAATAGCACTCCGGGTTGGAGTGGGTGCCCCTGTGACGGCGCCGCTGGAGTTCATGATTTATTATATTGAGTTCCGAACGACCCGAAATAAATTTTATTTGCTCGCGGCGAACACGACGTGGGACAGGTCAGGTGTGCGCTCAGAACCGTAGCGGAATTGTGGAATGTATATATATATGAAGCTATGTGCGAGCGAATGCACTTGCGTTGTGGATCGTATGTTTGTATGAAGAGTATGTGCGAGCGAATGCTCTTGCGTTGTGGATCGTATGTTTGTATGAAGTCTATGCGCGGGCGAATGCACTTGCGTTGTGGATCGTAAATATGTATGTGTGCTTGTGAACTAACGATTATTTTTATGCCTGTATGTATGTATAATATAATAATATATTATAATTTGTTTATTATTGTAAACAACTTATTAGCCACGTATGATAACACAGCCACACAAAAAAAAAAAAGTGTCCGGGTTGGGAGATCAGAGTACCCTATCCCCATGTATTTTGGACCGCTGAACACGAATCTGAAGTCCGTTTTGGTCCTGCACGTGTACGTTTCTTCCTAACCTCAAAAAAAGTTTTACATTTTTGGAGGTATGCGACTTTTTTTTTAATTTATTGGATTTTTATGAAACTGGGTACCCAGGGGTTTTTGGGGTTGCTGATTACGAATTTGAAGTCAGATTTTCAAAATTCAATATGGCGGACGAATTTTCAAAAAATTCGTGGATTTTCATTGTTGAAAATTCGTCCGCCATATTGAATCCGCCATATTGAATTTGGGAAATCTGACTTTAGATTCGTAATCAGCGACCCCAAAAACCCCTAAGTACCCAATTTCATGAAAATCCAAAAATTGTTCATAAATTCGTCCGCCATATTGGATCCGCCATATTGAATTTTAAAAACTGACTTCAAATTCGTAATCAGCGACCGCAAAAACCCCTGGGTACCCAGTTTCATGAAAATCCAATAAGTTAAAAATAAAGTCGCATACCTCCAAAAATGTAAAACTTTTTTTGAGGTTAGGAAGAAACGTACACGTGCAGGACCAAAACGGACTTCAGATTCGTGTTCAGCGGTCCAAAATACATAGGGATAAGGTACTCTGATCTCCCAACCCGGACACTTTTTTTTTTTTGTGTGGCTGTGTAATTTTTCACATCACACTGTTTACAAAATTGTTTTGTTTTGTTTTAGTAATTTGTTTATGTGTATATAAATATATTAACGATCACGTCGGGGTTCACCAATGTTTGGTCATTGAGCGTTTTCAATGCCGTAAATAAAAAATCAGAATTTAATTAGGTTCAACGTTATAACTTTATTCAGGCCGCATATGAAATTAGGATTTATGAGGATTTATGGAGAATATGGGAAATCCAATTTAGGATGCGAGCGCAGTAAGGAGATGAACAAGAGTGGCGCCAACCTTTCAGAATAGGCTGAGTGGATGCTCGCTAACTATAAACGCCGAAGTAGCAAAGCCGAGCGGCCGAAAGAGAGTCGGCTTGCGACCAGCAAAACATCAGTTACTAATTAATTGTTGTGTATAAATTAGTTGCTTGCTACTTGACCCGACAGTTACATAATATTAACTTACAAACTAAAAAATAATACTACAATATTAATAAAAACTTGGTTAGGTTAGAAAACTAGGTTAATTAGGTTAGAATAAATAGTTTAGAAATTCGAAAGTTCGTCTGATGCTACCATTTTTTCCACAGTTTTCAACCCCAGAGGATCCATATCATCCCACGTTTGAGGTTTCAATCGAAACCATTTCTGGTATCGATCAGAACTTTCAATGCGTGGCAAATAAGATTCGCTGTTTCTGTAAAGTTGATTTTCACAAACATAAAAGCATTATCGATACATTTGATTGGTCTGTACTGTACGGACTGTAAATGTTAATGTGCTTACGCAAGAGTTATACGTATTGAGACCACAGGTTTTAGAAGGGGTGAACAGGGGAAGGTGGGGTAAACAGGGTTGCAAATTCTACTGCATCGCTGCCGGCACACTGACAGTGTAAGCACTCAAATTTGTTTAGCTCTCGTTTTTGCTCCCATTTTGTCTCAAACTTAAAAAAAATGTTTCGGGTTGGAACAACCCGAAATTGGGTTGGAACAAGTTTTCTCCATAGGAAATATAGATAAGGAAGCGTAGTTTTTCATTTGTTAAAGAAATGTTGCAAAGCTTTCTTTAAAAAAAAAAAACTATTTGAGTGCCCATTCAAACTATTCAGTTAATGAAAAATACTAATGCAAAGTTGAAATAACCGACATACCGGTATTTGTCGATAGATGTTGTTACTAATCTAAAAAAAGCCAAATCGATAATCGTATGACAAGCAGGAAACTGTATATATTACGAAATTCCTTCGTAGACGACAGGCTTCAAAGCAGCAAATCTGAAGCCGGAATGACACGCTTAGCAGTAAAGGTGCGAAAAATACGAACGAGAACGAGTCTTTACGATGAGAGGATGGATTTCGAATTCCATAAAGGTGAGGCAAGCTTTAATGGGAAACTTCGACGAGCCCGAGTGCCCAGTAGACCCAGACTAGATTCCATGAACCAACAAACTACATGTTAACCGGGCGCTGATGAAAAGAACTATTTTGAGTTTGGTCATGCCTATATTTGATCCGCTCGGTTTACTTGGATTTTACATTACACAGGCGAAACTAATTCTGCAGGCAGTTTGGCCATTCAGCTTCAACACATCGGGGGACTTCGCATTTCCTTAAATATAGTTTAACACATTGAACATAAGATATTAAATTGTGTCGCCTGGTCGCCTAAAGCAGTCGCCTAATTACGTATGGAGTCACACGTATGGAGTATGGAGCTTTGGGAGAAGCTAGCTACAGTGTTATATTTTTTATTTATTAATGCGGTAATGAAAATAAACACTCGTACGCTGAGAGCGAGTTGAAGCGATAAAGCAGGTTGCAAACTGCACTCTCGTTTTGTTCTCGCTAAAACGTTGGAACTCCCAACTCGCTCTCACTCTGACATCTTTCGAGCTATTGCATATGAAAAAGGTTTCTGTGGTGTAGGTTTCGCTCGTTCTCACTCAATGTTATCGCGGATCTTCTAATAGACTATTTTAATCGGCAATTCCAACTCCAACTGAACGAGGTGGAAGTCAACGATATGGTAAACAACGAGCTACGTTTACAAACACAGTAATCGACTTCTTTGGACCCATCCCAAGCGATTGGGAGTACTCTTTACGTGCTTGACAGTCCGAGCCGTACACCTAGAGTAGAGCCACTCTCTATCCACAGATGCATTTATGCTAGTGCAAGAGACGTTTGTTACCAGGAGCAACTGGCGACAGGAGCAACCCATGACGATTATCATGGGTAACCATGATTGGGTACTCGAAAACATTGGTACTCTACTTGGTAAGGGTTTTTGAATTGTAGGTCAGATCGCAGACAGATTCCGAAGTTTGATACACAGGCAAACTAGGCGAACAAGAAGCTCTGGAAGAACGGAATAATTTACGAGCTTCGACTAGCGAAGGACGGGCAGACGCGCAGCGCTTTATTGCGAACCCACTGGACTACTCACACGGCGGCCTATAGGAAAGCAGGCAAAATTGGATGTCCAAAATAACAAAGATTTGCAAACACCTCAGCGAGCGGAAGTAAATAAGCATTAAAAACTGAAAGTCTATGAAAATCAAATTTTTCAAAAAAACGTACGGACTTTCAATTAGGCAGAGCTTTTGGCAAAACGGGTCAATACCGAGGGCATGTTTGGCAGTCATTAGGTTGACTGCTAGACTTGTGTTAGGTACTCGCTTTGGTAAGGCATATATTAAATTAAAAGAATATTAAAGTTAGACTTTTAAATAAACATAAAAAAACAGGTTTTACAATTCGTACAGTACTTTGATTCTTCGTTACTAAAGATTTTTAGTCGCTCGGTCTAACTTCACCGTAAATAACGCGGAATGTTTTAAGAGCTTAGTGTATTTTTTATCTCCGTTGCGATCAGGCGATTGCCGATCTTTTCGCACAGTTTTTTCAAACTACGTATTAGCCTTCTACCATTCCGGCTCAGCCTTATACTTATAATATCCAGACAGCCAAACATAATTTATGCCTATCTTTTTCTAAAATGGTTTTGTTATCGCCCCTTGTATTTTGATTATTTAACCAATGTTTCATTAAATTTCCGTCTCTCCACTTCTGGTGCTGACGTCCTGACCCATCCTCGACCTTCTTTTCTTAAATTTAAAAGCATACATTTTTTAAATAGTTTCTGACCAAAATTATTCTTCATAGTTATTTTTCTTTCAATCTCTCCGTGATTCGAGAGAAGCTAGAAAGGCTGTAGGCTCTTAACGCAAAAACGCTCTATATCTTATTGACTATGTAAAAAAACATATTTTCTACAAACCGAAAAATCTATATTGATTATCCTTGTGACTTACAATAGTAATGGCAAATTAAAAACTTTATTCGTTTGGAATGACATTCCAATGAAGAACATATATTTAAGCTTTAACTTGGCGTTCGAAAATTAAAAATCTATTTGATTATTTTTATTTTTAATGCAGATTGGACGTCTTTATCCCCAAGCAGTTTATTTTCCAATACGGACCTTATATTTAACTTTAAAAATCGAACAGCGTGAGAAGCATAAATCCGCTGAGCAGGCTGTTTTTGCTGGAAAAATGACCAATTCGGTGAGTACGTCAATAAAATAAATACTTCCAAATTTTGTATACTCCACCAAATCCATATTCTAAATATGTCGATTTAGTTTTAAAAATATAGTTTTTTGAATATGTCGAAAAAATATTAAATATGTTGAAAATGTCCAAAAAGCCATACTGGCCTTAAAATCGAAAATATTAAGCTTGTTGGTGAAAATGCACGAAAATTGGACTGTACATGATTGGCAAAACGTCATTTTTTCTAACGAAACCAAAATAATCTATTTGGCTTACAATACGGGTACATGGTATAACGCCCAGTGTCATAGCGCCCACGGGCACTATGACACAATTTTTTGTGCCTTCTACCCTCAATGAAGGAGCAACTTTCTCATGCCCCAAACATAATCTTTCAGGACGACTCAGGTCCTTGCTATCGTGCAAGAAAAAGGGATGTATTTTTTTTATTCTTTAAAGAGTTGTTTAAAGAAAAATTAAGGGGACCTTCACCTGGATTTGGCCGAAAATGAAGCAAAATTTGAGAATGGATTGCGGGAAAATGAAAAGACATACGAAGTTGAGCTTTTGAACTTTGATTCGTTGTTTATTTACGATAAAAAAAAGTATTCAATATTTAGGAAATTCAAAATGGCGCCTTCAAAATGGCGGATCTCGTCGACCTCGTTTTTTCCGCTTTGTCAAGTGTCGGGCCTCTGGTAGTGAAGTGAAATTAGAAATGTATATAAATTATTAAAATTTATGAAATTTCCTATGGCTTATACCTAACGACAATCAATTTTGGTGAAAATAAACCAATTTTATGGGCGTTTGAAAAAAAATTGGCATTTTTTCCCTTTTTTTTATTTTGATCTTTTTTAACAATTATAAATAAACCATTTTTCATGTCAATTTTAGGTATAAGCCATACAAAAAAGTATATACTTTCAAACGCTTCTTGAATGAAGGAAATAAATCAATAGAACGAGCCCTGTGCTTGACATGAGTTTAGAAAACATGGTTTCGAGAAAAACGCGTTTAAAGTTTTAAGAAACTTTGCCTTTAGATAGCTTTCTTGTTATCATGGGTATATTTGAAACGCTCTAGCTCAAGAAATACGCGTCGTATCGAAATATCCTTTGGTACATATATTCTAGACATATAGAACTTTCATTTAATTAAAAAAAAAAAAAATCGATTTTTTCAAAAAAATTCAGGTGAAGGTCCCTTTAAAGTATTAAATTTCTAGTATTTTTTTTTTTAATTTAGGTAATAAATTATTTGCAGAAAAATCGAATATCAACATTAGACTGGCCAGGCAGTAGTCCTGATTTCTATCCGATTCAAAATCGGTGGCCTATTTTAAAAATTAAAATACATAAAAAGATCCATACCATACATACAGCAATGGATGGTAGGCTGGGATGAGGACATTGTCTTGTTACAAGACTTCATTAAACAGACGAGTTTAAATTCCATTTTAATAATTAAGAATATAAAAATATATATAAGGTTAAAAAAACACTATACCCTAAAGCACTAAGGTCCCAAAAAGGGGACCTTTCCCCTCCTATCTACTGATGTGCCCAAGAGTATGCTATCCTTCCTGCGGCGGCTCGCGGTCCCATCCAGATTTACGGATGAAGGCTACGAGTCTGCGTGGAGCGAGGTCTGTTAGATCCGTGAGTGCTGCTGCGCCCCAGCGCAGAGCATTGACATAGGAGGTGTGCGACTGTCTCTTCCTCTTCTACATCCCCACAGCTCCTGCAGTAGTCATAATGTGGCACCGCTAGTCTAGCCGCGTGAGCTCCAATTAACCAGTGTCCCGTAATGGCCTTGACTGCCAGACTACAGTCCTGCCTATTAAGGGCGATAAGCATCATTGATCTCTTCCTAGAGCGGATAGGCCATATCATGCGTAAATTCCTGCAGATTTCTCCATTTTCTCAGTGCTGCGTGATCAAAGTGATCCCTGCATTTTAGCATACACGTAGCTAAGAGGATGCCTACTGGTTCCTTCTCCGGGAGGAGAGGATTGGTACTACCTGCCCTTGCTAGTTCGTCAGCGGCGCAATTTCCCTCGTGGTCCCTATGTCCGGGCACCCATATGAGGTGGATGTCATACTGCTCTGCCATAAAGTCATTCACTGTCCTGGAGTTAGATGAGAATCCGTAAAGGGCTTTGAGTGCCGCTTGACTGTCTGAGAAGATACAGATTGTGTCTGGATTTCCAGTAAGTGCTGGGGATCTAAGTGCTTCCCCGATAGCTATTACTTCTGCTTAGAACCCACTACAGTGGTCGGGGAGTCTGAAGGACTCATTTAGACACAGCCGTTCGCAATGTAAACCGCCTCCCACCTGGCCATTCAATTTTGAACCGTCTGTGTAAATATAAAGAAAACCGTCTGGTCCCGGGATTTGTGTGTCCCATTCCTCTCTTGTTGAAATGGATACCTTATATTTTAAGGTATTTTAAGGTGGGATGGTCAACAGGTACGCAGTAGTCTTTAGCCTCCATTGGCGTGCAGTGCACTATTGGGTTTTTGACCTGTTTTTGTGGCATTAATTAATTACTCGGTCAGTTTTGGAGATACCGACATGAAACTTTACCAATCGTTATTATTTGCACATATATTATTTGCACAATCGTTATCCTATATCCTGTAGCTCCCATAGAAACGATTTGGTAAAAGTTAAGATAAAATAATGAAATTTGAGGAGCTGATATTTGTTGCTATTTTAATAGGATATAGCAATTTTGAACCAAATCGGATAACGCTTTCCCTGGGAACTATCAGTTTAAAATACCGGATTTCAGTGTTCTTCCATACAAATTCATATAAAAGTTAAAAAAAGAAAAATTCCTTCATACAGTAGTATTAATCTTATTATTCTTTTTTTTTTTTTTTTTCATTTTCTACAATATATCAATATTATCTAAGAAAACAAGCTGGAATTGTTAAATTCGTCATTTTCGAGACAAACATTATATTCGAATTCGTACGAAAGCATCTGAATTACCTCAATTGGAAGTAAAAGACTCTTTAGTTTTTTATGCATCTCGATAAATTAAGGACGAAATAATTGGATCTGATGTATCCATAGCTCGGTTGTGCTTTTTTGAATGATGACGCCTGTCTGATTTATACAGCTTGTTTCAGGACTCAGATGCTTCTTCTCCAAAATAGCCGACTGGAAGCACCGTATTTTCCATTACTTCCATTAAAAACTAGTGGCTTTTTTTTTTATCAAAACGGCATTATCCACATTGTTATTTTTATGGCGTTTAAAAAAACATTGTACAGCCATTTGTTGCTCAGCCCGGCCCCTTTCGCTGTTCCAAGCAACGACCAAATCGGCTTTGGAGAAAGTGAGGTTATCTAAGAAAAATTCAAATTGCACCAATAGTGGAGAGAAGTGCACAATAAGACTAACAGCCTTTTCTCAGTATTGACAACGCTACAACATACGCTTGGACGCATTGAAAACTTTCTATTCCTTCTATTTCAAAACTCTTCCCAAAGTTGAAATTTGTTTCCCAAAATTCAGCTTAAGGTGCATCTATAAAATGACAAAATTTTAGTATAGACACGCACAATTTAAACAGTTAATACATTTACCATGTAGTACAAACCTGTGAAATCAGTGTCCATTACTATTTTTCTTTTTAAATGGAGTTTTAAACAAATAATCTAATTTCACAAATCACTATGTGAAAATTGCAAACTTAGCGCACGTGCTTTCGGATGCAACAGCTGACTTTGCAGCTGTTATGCTAACATATGGTGCTAATAATTAATATTTTGAGTATGAGGCATAATAGTTTGATGTTTTTTTAATACATTCCCATTAATTTTTTTTAAATCAGAAAACTTTCAAAAAATGATTAAATGCCACATAAAGTGGTCAAAAACCCCATAGTGCAATGGTGTAGGTCCAACTTGGTAGGTTAATAGTCGGTCCTTTTCCATATGCCCGTCTCGCGTAGCCTAACAGCCCATTATCTTTACAGGTAATAGGTCAAGTATGAAGTCTAGGGCATCAGTCGGTGTTGTACGTAGGCGGCCTATGATACAGACCTCCGCCATCCTTTGCGTTTTCCTAAGTTTCTCTCTAATTGTGGAGTTTGTGAGAGCAGGCCACAGGACCACCACCAGAAAAGGATGGGTCTTATGACCTCCATCTGACTATCTTTGGAGACATTTCCCATTTAAGGCCAATGGCTTTTCGGCATTTATAGAGCGCGATTGTTGCCTTGTTAGCTCTATCCCTGGTGTTTGACTTCCAGTCCAGTCTCCTGTCTAGCATAATCCCTAGGTACTTGACGCTACCGCTGAGGGAGAGTGTTTCTCCTGATAGTTTTGGAAGCATTAAATTTGGTACTTTGTACTTCCTGGTAAAGAGGACAAGCTCGGTTTTGGATGGGCTTACACCTAGTTCATTCCTAACTGCCCATGTTGAGAGGACCCTAAGTTTGTCCGTCATGCGGTCACATAGAGTCAGGGGAAACTTCCCAGAGAAGGCAATTGCGACATCATCCGCGTAAGCGATAACTTTGCAACCACCACCTTCTAGGGATCGTAGGAGGCTATTAACCGCCACGTTCCACAGTAGGGGTGAGAGTATGCCTCCTTGCGGAGTGCCTCTTTTGACGTATCTATGAATAGATTCTCCTCCTAGTGACGCCTCAACAGTCCTGTTTACCAGGATCTGCTTTATAAGGCGTATAGGATTGTCTATTCCTAGTCCCGTCAGCGCATTGATTATCGAGCTTGGTAGGATGTTGTCGAAAGCACCTTCTATGTCTAGAAAAGCTATGAGTGCGTACTCCTTGTCACTAAGTGCCTTTTCGACGAAAGTAGTGATCTTGTGGAGTGCCGTATCCGTGGATCGGCCCTTCCTATACGCATGCTGTGATCCCGAGATATCATCTGGGTTTAAAGTAAGATTAATATGGAGGCTGATTAGTCTCTCCATTGCAAATTGGGATGATATGCCATAACCGTAATATTAAAGCTAGAAAGTTGAAATTT